CCAAGAAGAAGACAAATAGCTGTTGTTACCGCAACAGCTCACCCGCGAAGATCCGGGTTCGATTAGGTCTTCAGCAAGCCATGCTTGTCTTAAGGGGCGACTAACGGTATCGGGCCGTGATCAGGCTCGCTGATTTGGTTGATGCATGCCACCGTATCCCAAATGTGTAGATCGATGCTCATGATGTCAATCCCTAGGTTGTTCGGTCCAGATTCGATTATTCACAAACCACCGTCACATAGCTGGAATATTGCTGAGTGCAGCGTTGAACAGCAAACAAACAAACAAACAAACAAACACAATATGACCACCAGAGTGAATTTCATATTTCCTAAACAATTCGTGATGTCAACTCGGGTGCGTTATCAATGTTCCTAGGCCTGCTGACACAGTTATGTCCAACACAAGCTATTTCCGGCAATGTCTCCGCTTAACAACAAGCCTTAATCGTATAACGGCGCAAACATCTCTTTGTACAGCTATCAATCGCCTAGACACACTAACCTAATCTGCGGTACATCAACTAAAACTATTGCACGTCTCCGTAATTCGATAACCTGCTGTCTCCCGTGCAGAACGAATCAAAGATTGATTGACAACAACCCAAGCAGTTAATACAACCCATAAACCATATTTTGCTATATTTGTGTTCACCCGAACTTGCAATTTCATTTCAACTTGCATATCAAAATTATTTTCAAAGGCTTGAGAAAACGCCAGACGTCAGGCTTATCGTATACATTAAATAAGATAATTCACTACGTAACTGAATGACGAAGCCTTATAACGAGATTAACCATTCAACGTGACCATTTCAGAGGGAGAGTCTGTCAATTAAGGCTGTCACGTGATACATATGCGCACTGGCCTCTATTTGTGGTAACGTTCTACGCAGCTAACCTCGTTACTTCTCAATACCTTTTGTGAAAAATATTTTTTAATTCACTGAAAAACAATATTTGGATCATTCGATCTCACTTTATGGATTTTAAAAAATCGCCATTGCCCTACTTTACAAAAGAAACGGGGATCTTAAATCTAATTACATATTCGGAACACATTCAAAAGAAACATTATTTAAGAATAATGCTTCTTAATACACGTATAGTGTACGTTTGATGTCTTTTTGTGGACAAAGTCAACTATTCATTTATCTGTTTGTCAAACAAAAATACAACATTCCTATGAGGAAGCGTTTTTTAGAAACTGACAAACTGGCGTCTTCGGAAGATAGATTGACAGGTTGACGGATTTTACCGAGGTCTGATGGGGAAGACAGGCGGGCAGGTAGGCAGAAAGATAGACAGGGTAGATAGATGGTAGACGAACCGACTTCCCATCGGTTGGCAGCTCGGCTGACAGGCAATCAGTAAGGGCACCGGAGGCAAGAAACGTTTACGTGTATATCTAAAAGTTTCTTGGGTCTAGATAAGTATGAAATATCGCGGGCAATGTACGTTGGATGGTTCTTACATTAGCACTGGTCAGAGGTGTCGTGTTACCCTTCAAACCACCCCCTACACAAGCGGGCTTATCGTTGTACGGCTGATTGTATTGTCGATTGACCGTTATACTTTAACACACTCGATAAATCAAATCAAATCAGCATTGTTAGATTGTTAATCTGGCTAAGTGAGCTAAATTACAAATAGTACATTGATGGGTAGGTCAGACACGACTTAGTTAACTATGGACAGGTCAGACACGACTTAGTTAACTATGGACAGGTCAGACACGACTTAAGTATGAGTTGGTCAGACACGACTAAAGTAAGTATGAGTTGGTCGGACACGACTTAAGTAAGTATGAGTTGGTCAGATACGACGTAAGTAAGTGTGAGTTGGTCAGGCGCGACTTAAGTAAGTATGAGTTGGTCAGACACGACGTAAGTATGAGTTGGTCAGACACGACGTAAGTAAGTATGAGTTGGTCAGACACGACGTAAGTAAGTATGAGTTGGTCAGACACGACGTAAGTAAGTATGAGTTGGTCAGACACGACGTAAGTAAGTATGAGTTGGTCAGACACGACGTAAGTAAGTATGAGTTGGTCATTCAGACCCTTATACAAATATATCCAATACAGCCCACGCAAGTCTATAATATTTGTCAAGTCTAGATTACTGGAGTTATGAAGAGAGTCTCTGGGCTCCTTTTTATTATATTTTTATTAAGATAATTTAACAACCGTTTTTTTCTGTAATATATGTTCATTTCAGAGACTTGATGTTAGTCTAGGCAAACAGCAACATGAGTAGTTAACCGTGTGTACATAGAGATGATACCAAGTGACATGAGTTTTCAACCGTGTTCCTTCAGCTAAAGAAATCTTATAGTCGGATGCAAGAATCTGATTTAATTTTGTGATAATGGGTGGATGAGATAAAAAACTCCATCTCGCCCGACCCCCCTGTAAACAAGCAGCGGAGTTATCTGCAAAGAGATAACTCAATTAGAACACACCTCCGCGACCTCTGAGAGCCGATGTGTCGTGACTGTGAAAGCTATCTCGTGTGTTTATGTTACCAGATTTCCACAAACAGGATCATTGTGCAGGGACCAGGCGGAGCTGGTGTGATAATATATATACATATGTTTAGATATGAATCTATATTTTTATCTATATATTAAGCAATATTAATTATAAAAAAGTGTTATAACATCACAGCTGTTGTACGTAGTCGATATTAATATCAAGACAAATAAAATTTCAATTAAACAAATTTACAAGAAAGGTTATCATTGGAACAAAGTGATTTTTATTTGTTTTGTTGGTATTAACGCCGAACTCAGAAACATTCCAGCTATTCCAATCTGTACATAATCGAATCTAGACCAGACAATCCAGTGATGGATATTTGGAAAAATGTCGAGCTGTTTGGGTACGATTAAACACACAACCAAGTCGGCGAGCGTGACCACACGATCTATCAAGTCTCCCCATACGACAAGCACAGGTTGGCGGGGACCAGTTCCAACCCGGTATCCCCCAAGAAGAAGAAAAAACAACTTGAAAACAGTGTTCGAAATATGCGCCTACCCGCAGGCATGTGGCAGGCAATTCTTGTGTCGTCCCCGTAGTTTCAAAGTTGTATGGATCCTTATGACATGTAGTTAATTTACATGTCTATGTTTTTTGTCACAATAAGATGCATTTTTTATAAATGAGGGCCTCACGAGTCTAGTCAGGGCCTGCGGCTTCTAAAGTCTGTAGGTCCCGATGTCAGCCTTGCAATTTTCTTATTTCGAACACTGGTTGAAAAAAGTTCCTGTTTATATAACACGTGGAGACAAAGTGAAAGTTTTTCCACATTTGACAACAATACTCCGTCTCACTTACATACGTCAAGTTGTCACAACGAGCGGCGCGTATGTCAGGGACGTGTGCAACTACACATTCGGCGACTGAGTGATCGTCCTTTGAAGTCCCTTACGACTGTGAAACGATCAATCACGACATTGCAGATCAGCTGGATGGGCTTTTCTACTGAATATTTTGCATTATTAATGAAAGTTATGCATGCATTGTAACAGCAGAGTGTTAAACGACGACACATGAAGTGCATTAGTAAGGAAATATGCATCCTTGTCATAACTCCACCTTACCCGCACACCAAACATTAACCATGAATGATTTAGAATGGACGTTTACGGTAGCATAGACTAACATTTAGTCTCTGAAATCTTATATTACACAATATCCTTCTTGACTCTAAAAATAAAAAAATTCCCTATGCTGATTTAGCTTGAGCTGGCTAGACTTGCTTTTGTATGCATTTCTAGATTATTATTTTTTCATAAAATAAATATATTCCACGGTCATGGTGCAGGACTAACGGTAGCACTGATCAGCGGATTGTCTGGTTTGCCGTGTTATGGTGCCCGAGCTAGACGTATCAGTGATGGAATACATTAATAGTTATTGTTAATTATAATTAGTGAACTTACTTCAAATTCTTAAAGCAATAGTTGACAGCCCGTGGGGATCCGGGTTAGATTGAGTCCCCTGCAAACTATGCTAGTCGAGTGAGTGAGTGAGTATGGTTTTACGCCGCTTTTAGCAATATTCCAGCAATATCACGGCGGGGGACACCAGAAATGGGCTTCACACATTGTACCCATGTCGGGAATCGAACCCGGGTCTTCGGCGTGACGAGCGAACGCTTTAACCACTAGGCTACCCGACCGCCCCTATGCTAGTCGAAAGAAGCGTCTGAATGGATCGGGCGGTCAGGCTAGGTGATTTGGTTGATTGAGTGTCATTGTACTCCGACGGAAAATCGTAACTCACAGTATCGATCACTGGAATTTCTGGTTTAGACTCAGTTATTTACAAGCCGACGTCATACAGTTCATTGCGACGTAAAACAACAAACAGATAAAATATTTGAATGTTGGAATTTTTGACAATTTGACATGACCTGTAACAGTATTCGGACCAGTTTTACAGAGAGAACATGGCGTTATTAAGCGCACACGTGTGGTTATACTAACACTGGTATATGAAGTATCTTTAGTATTACAGCGTTGAGTTGAAGAAAGAGTATAATCGGTTGCAGTTTACCCCAATGAACACTTTTGATATGGAAGTAATGTGTTGATAAAACTTATAAAAGTTATGCATAACAATACCTGAAAATCATAATAAACATATTTCGTTATTCATCAGCATCTGAACATCATCAATCAGTAAAAGATATATCACTGTTTTCTCCAACAGCTCATACGGGATGTAATTTGTGTATGTAAACAATATCCCGGTCGAAACCGTGGCAGGTTATCTCGTTTTCTCTGTAACAATTCATTATTCATGTCTCAACGATAACCCATGAACGTCACGGAGTGAACATGTTTATCCTTCTTGAAAAAAAACAAGAAAGAATAACAATAAACAGATACTAAGGAACATCGCCATACCACGTATGATATTGCTATACCCAGAGCTGTGTTAATATAGAGGGAACAAGACGGATCCCGAAAGTAAGATATGGTTTCACTTACCACATTTCTTGATATCCGTGATAGTCTAGGTACTCCGAGAGAATTGCGACTGTGTACCCGAAATACGATCCCTCAGGACCGGAAAAAAATTTCGGATCACGAGTGTCGATATTGAAGGCGTTGACGTTCGTCACAGTCACCGTCCCTAGGAACGACAGCAGAAATCCAACACAGGCACACATCGTCAGGGAACACGTAGACGTCTTTGCATTGAAGGTTTCAAATTTGGAAAAGTTGCAAACAGTTGGTTTTTGTGTGGATGTGACGCCAGTTTGTGGAATTATTTAAATCTGCGAATTAAGAATGAGCGTGCCGGGGTAATGACTGCAACCTGCAGACTTCCTCTCATAGAGTTTTCAAAACAACCAACCAGTCGACGCGATCCGAATGTGTGGTCAAGATGCTGAAACCTCGTGTTGCTATGGAATGTCACCGTTACCAAGCGACCTCGCAGCGGAAATGAAACACAGCCAAGCTAACAAACATCTACACCGCGAGATGATTCAAACTTTTCAACTTTTTACGGCGCTCCCGACATCATCCGACAAGAGCCCCTCCTGGCTTTATACTGAGATATACAACTGAATCAGCTGCGCGAGTTATCGTCTGCTACTCGCTTGAGTTCGACTGGGAGACCGCGCGCGCGAAGCGGGAAATAATTGGCTGGTGCTTCCGTCGCTTCAAATATCAAACCTATTTAGTCATCAGCATCGTTTGATTTGTCACCTTGTCGTGATAACGATACTTTATCTAAGAATATCCTGAACACTATTTCTTCTCGGCGGACAAAGGCTGAATGTCTAGCTCTGTTGGCGAGTGTCAAACTGCAGACGACATCTGGTATAAGTGATTACGGCCATATATTTGCATTTTCGAACCTGTTGATGAACCAACTGACTGAAAAAGAGTCAAGAAGTCTAACTCCAAGTGTTGTTACATACAAAAAGTGTCAACGTGTCCAGTTAGCTTCTTGTCTGCCCAGATCGATCCATGTATAGTGACATGTGCGGTGGTAATAGTCTCGGCGAGTCTGGCAACTCCATCGCTGGCAACTCCATCGCTGTGAAACTTTTTGACAAGGAGGACGTACAAGTTTTGAAACAGAACTCAAAAACAGCCCTTTATCACGTGTAAGTGACACATGATTCAGCTCCTGCATACTCTGTGACATGGCGTCAAACTTGCGACATCCTCAAGAAAATCTAATTATTACGTTCGGAAAATTCCGATCCTCCCAACAGCCAGGAGCTAAAGAGAAGCTTATCATATACGTTGCCTTGTCATATGGTCTGCGGGTGATAGACCCTTGCTACCGCTGTTGTTATTGAGCATTCACAATCTCAGTTATCTTTGTTTTTAGAGTGTATCTTTCAGGATCAATTTCAATTAAATTGAGACTGTCTGACGCCTGGCATTTTTCTCCTTCCTTGTAAATTCAATAAATGTTTATCAAGTCAGAAATATGATTGGGTTATATTGATGGGTTAGGGAATAGTTTGTTATTGGGTTAAATTTGGAATATTGTTATCTAATTTTATTTTTAGGGAATGAGGATGAACAGAAAAAATACATTTTTTAACATTAGCGGGTTTCGTGATGTGGATAATTTTAGATAAGGATGGGTTATGATGAAATATACGACTTGATTTTTCAAGGCGGTTCCAACTAATGGGAGCATTAGGTACAAATTTGTGAACATTTTGTCTACGACAATCACAATGTCACGTCGCGTGGTACAGAGCCACGGCGTTGAGATGGATGTCACAATGTCACGTCGCGTGGTACAGAGCCACGGCGTTGAGATGGATGTCACAATGTCACGTCGCGTGGTACAGAGCCACGGCGTTGAGATGGATGTCACAATGTCACGTCGCGTGGTACAGAGCCACGGCGTTGAGATGGATGTCACGTCGCGTGGTACAGAGCCACGGCGTTGAGATGGATGTCACAATGTCACGTCGCGTGGTACCAGGCCACGGCGTTGAGATGGATGTCACAATGTCACGTCGCGTGGTACAGAGCCACGGCGTTGAGATGGATGTCACAATGTCACGTCGCGTGGTACCAGGCCACGGCGTTGAGATGGATGTCACAATGTCACGTCGCGTGGTACCAGGCCACGGCGTTGAGATGGATGTCACGTCGCGTGGTACAGAGCCACGGCGTTGAGATGGATGTCACAATGTCACGTCGCGTGGTACCAGGCCACGGCGTTGAGATGGATGTTCCTGTAGGATGGGAAAGCGTATATCCCTATACCTACACTAAGGAACTATCTATCTCTCATTTCTTTTCTGCATCTCTTTTTTTCACAACAGTCCAGTTTTACAGTAACGTCCATTATAGCTGGGAAATAAGCGCTGTCTGATTTATGCACCTTCTTGACATTTGACAGCCTCTTAATCAAGAACTTCTCAGTGCCTTCTTTAAAACGATCTTAGATAGCCAACTTCAACCCACATGCATTCTCGCGCTATGTCAGATGTCGGGCTCACACACACGCACACACGCACACATGGTTTTCTGACATCAGAATGAGAGACAAAAAGACAATCTCATTGGGATGCGCCCTTTTTGTATACATGGGGATAGTTTTGTTTTTTTTACCTGCAACTGCTCTGGGGTTGTGTCCTTGGGAAACACGTGCTCATATATACACTAAATCTGTATCTCTTTATTACTATCTGTTTTCATCCCGTTGTATCCGGTCAGCGTTTATGAGAGTGCCCTTTTCAATCATTTGCACTCGGGTTTCCGGCCCTTTTCAATCATTTGCACTCAGGTTTCCGGCCCTTTTTAATCATTTGCACTCGGATTTCCGGCCCCTTTTAATCATTTGCCCTCGGATTTCCGACCGTCTTGAATTATTTTGCACTCATGTTTCCGGCCTTTTTGAATCATTTGCACTCGGGTTTTCGGCCCTTTTGAATCATTTGCACTCGGGTTTCCGGCCCTTTTGAATTATTTGCACTATTTTTTTCCGACACTTTTGAAACAATTGCTCTCGGGTTTCTCTGTTTTCACACTGCAATAAACTTTGATGAAGACGTAAAAAGTGGTTCTCGGATATTTCATTCCCGGCCTGCTATAAAGAGGTTGCTTGTGATGAGGGCAGAGGGCCCTTCCAGGGTGTTATAAAGGGGTCGCTTGTGATGAAGACATAGGGCCCTTCCAGCGCGCTATAACGGGGTCGCTTGTGATGAGGGCAGAAGGCCCTTCCAGCGTGTTACAAAGGGTCGCTTGTGAGGAGGGCAGAGGGCCCTTCCGGCGTGTTATAAAGGGGTCGCTTGTGGTGAGGCCCCTTGTGAAACAATCGATTTGTGTGTCCTAGTTTCCATCCTGTGTCGCTGCCTGTGAAGGAGTCCCTCCTTTCAGTAGAGCGCATACCAAACAGGAGAGTGTGCCTGCATAAGAATAACTGTTCCCGGATGCTTGATCCCCCTAGGGGAGCGACTGTTATCTGGATGAGCGTGTTTTTGACCTTGCAATCTTTTACACCGGAGCGATTGACGATCAGAGGAAGAATGCATGAGATAAACCATTCTTACATTTCCCAACCGCTCCACTAGGATGCCGCTCAGATAGGGAGGGAGGCGGTCGGGTAGCCTAGTGGTTGAAGCGTTCGCTCGTCACGCCGAAGACCCGGGTTCGATACCCGACATGGGTACAATGTGTGAAGCTCATTTCTGGTGTCCCCCGCCGCGATATTGCTGGAATATTGCTAAAAGCGTAAAACCATACACACTCACTCACCAACTCACGCAGGGGGCACATTTACTCCACTTTCCCGCGATGCGTCCTACGTTACAGGGTTTACCTTCACGTTGACCTTGACCTTCAGTCTGCGCTTGTCTTGAAGGGCCGTTCAATGACAGTGTCGCTATCAACGGTGTTTATAAGACAATGACATATTATCATATATTGTAACATCGATTGCTGCAGGTCAGCAATGTTACAATATTAAACGAAGCACTGCCATGGTAAGTGTGTAAGTGAATGAATCAGATGTACTCTCTTTAGAAATAGATTTCTTCCAGAAATATTTTATAGTTGAATTTCGTTAAAATTTATTAATCTCCTCTTAATAGAGACGTTTGATAGCTTCATACTTAAGGAGGTTATTCAAAATGAGAACGGTAAAGTTGTAACATGTGACTTTAATATTATTTATCTTTTATCAGTACTCTGGGCCATGTGACCTAACTTACGAATTAAAATTGATTGATTTTTTTACTATATTACAAGCCTGAAGTATCTGTGTCCCTTTGTCAAGTAATCAATGTGATCTCTTTTTTAGATACAAACCCTCGACAAAAAGCATAAGACAGAGAAGGGGAGTGTAAGAGAGACGATTCTGCAATGGAGATATTACTATTTGCAGCAGATACCTTTAATAGTTCCCACTCGAGCTTTGAATTCAACTCTCATTTGTCACAAACTCCCATGCTGCACGAGCAGACTGCTACACTTTAATCTCTTTATTTTTTTAAACTTTTGAAACAGATATTAATTGTTATTCGGGGAGCACGTGCAAGAAACACATATCGACGATTCCTGTCAATCACGTGTCACAAGCCACCATCAGCGCCGTATCCCTTTAGAAGGAACACGTTAAAAAAATGATTGAAAACGCGCAAGACTGACGAGCTAAACTTCTTATATCATATTTGACACTGGTGATTCTCTCTTTGAAACGCCGAAGTGACACGGTGGATTAGTATTATATTTGTAACCCATTTGCTACGACTTGGAATGTGACTGTCGTGAATTGATCCCGGCAGCTGGGCGTCAGAGGGCGCACAGTCGCAGCTGAAGGAAAGTAATTCACTGAACCTGGACATGCCGTGCTGTGATTAAACACTTATAATGATGGTCATTAAATACCGGCACACGCCCCGTGTAACATAACACAGCGGGCAGTAATTACATAATTAATTAGGAACCTGTATAATTTCGAATCTGAACTAGAATTTAAAATCGACCTCTACTGTGGTTAGTTATTGGAGCATGTGTTACCGGAGCAGGTTAGTGAGGATCATCATCATCATCATCATCATCATCATCATCAGTATTACCAACATTATCATAATCACCGTCATCATCATCATCATCATCATCATAATCATCATCATCATCATCATCATCATCATCAACACAATCATCATCATCATCATCACAATCATCATCATCATCACAATCATCATCAGTATTACCAACATTATCATAATCACCGTCATCATCACTATCATCATCATCACTATCATCATCATCATCATCATCATCAGGGTTTCCATCGGACCTCTGATTCTTTGTTCCTGTTGTCTCACCAGACAAAGTGTGTCTGTACATATTCCAGCTAAGAGTTCCGCCGAAGTTTAAAATCCTGTAAAACATATTTTGCATTAGTTTCTTATGCAGCTTCATAAACAGTTTTCCGGAGCCACGTAGTTGGCTTTATTGGGGCCAACAATTCCCAAGAGGATGCGAAATAATACCCGTTCCCGATAATAATCTTGGCCACACGTGGTGGAACGTTATTTCTTGCTATTATACAACTCAACGTGTGTTAAGGATACTCTGTTGCCAAATTCAGAAAGCAAAAAAGTATTGGAAGTGTAATTTAGGTTGGTTTCAACTTGGAATTAAGTTTTAATTTTAGCAACCCATTTAAAACTACTCTCATGATAGCCTCTCGAATTCTCCCTTTTAGTCTCAAGCCGGACATTATCCCTGTCAAAAGTTGAGTTTATTGAGAATATTTATCATCTATTTCTACATTTCCGATACACACTGGGTCACGGTGACCTGGATTTGATTTGACTGTTTGTGGATGTAACGGTACATGTAACGGTTTCTGTTGCCTCAGCTGTGTTCTCACCTCTACTGCAGATATCTGACAGTCAGTATTATTAGATGCTTGTTATTATTCTGCATGAGCATGACATGTTTCGAGGCAAGTGAAAGTTGTATTTGTAGTTGTTGGAGTAGCAAACGCAGAAGCAGTGGAAACTGGCGAGGACGTTG